CTCGAGCAGCTGAAGAGGTCATCGAGGCTTTGGCAAACGCAGGAGACGAATGAAAGCATAGTGTCACTGGAGGAGCGTTTCGCATCAACTCGACGTCGTCCAGTTCGAGACATGTCAGGTCCAAGATGACTACTGCTCTGACCAGTCGATCCCTCCAACGTACGCTGCTACAACTGCTGCTGCTTTAACCACATGGCTCCTTCAGTCACGATCCGGCAGTTTACAATCAGCAGTCTGCAGTCAATAGTCTTCGAGCGTGGCCTTCGTCTCGACTGTAGAAAGCTGCCACGACCATTGCTATCCTGGACATATGTGGAAAGAGATTCCCATGCAACCAAACTTGGCGACAAAGCTGCCAAGTCAATGAATGCACATAGCGATGTAGCAACAACTTCTCATCACAGCGACGGAGCACATGGGTGTGCGTTCTTTTGTGTTCAAGTTCATCAGGTCGACAAGAGGTGGATGCAGTGGGTAGTACGTCTGTGGCGTCCCACGTTACCAGCGCTTTTGCACATTTGCTCTCGTTGTGCTGCGTCGATTGGTCACGCGTAATGCCCCCACATCTTCGAGAAGAGGGACGGAGCAACGACATGAGCGATTGCACAACAGAGTTGCAGAAAACGCTGTACATGGAGCGAGCACGCCGTCCTCCTGTCGAGCGAGAGACCTCAACGCCTGACGCTGTGGCTTCTCTGACACCACTTCGTTGCTCGTCAACGGTCGGTCCGCTGGAATTCGGTGGAGGCAGTTGCATCGTCTTCGTCTTCCTGTTTTGTGGCCTCCTGTCCGTCCGAATGCCACTGGCCACCACTACAGCAGAGAGACACCACAGGTGGACCTTCGGACGCGGGTGGCTTCGCGCCACCAAAGAGCCCACAGACTTTGTGTCTGCAACGGCAATCACTTGATTCACTAGACAGACTGTTGGCTACGACGTCACGCTGCACTTTGGATGGCCGTCCAGCGATCTCGTTCGAATTGCCACCGCCACCGCCTCCTCCTGTTTCTGTCGAGAGAGGGACTTGTCCGTTTCTGACCTGCAACTGTCGCTCCCGACTTTGTGTCGGTCGGAAAGACATCGGACGTTCTGCTGTGCAAACGTACGCTCAGTCAGTCAATCTGTCCGTCAGTCAATGGGGTACTACGTCCGTCCGTCCCCGTCCGTCCGTCCGTCCGTCTACTTCCACGCACTTGTCAATTCACTCCATTCGCTTCAGCCGCTGCGCCATTCCGCCCACTCGTCTCGAGTCTTCCGCAGTGCTACAACTCCACAAACCCATCCTCCTGACCTTCACGATGGAATGGGAAGCGCCACTCCCCGTCTGGATCGACTCCTCCATCGACATTGACATTGACGAGATACCCTCTTCCGACTCGATGACTGCGCTCCTGATGGACGTGGACGACATTCTGATGCCCTACACCCCCAAAATGGACCACACAACGACACACTCGACCGCGCAGCTCTCCCCGTTCGACAACCTGCTGGACGTCGCCCCACTGACGATCAACACCCTCATCGACGTTGACGCGTCGCCAGAGCGAACGCAAAGAGACGCGACACTGCCGAGTTTCGACCCCATCGCGGACAAAACGAGCACCAAATGTGCTCGTCGGTTGGACCCTTTTGGTCGTGACCAGCGACGCAAGAGCAAACAACGGGGCTACGAGACAAACTACCGCAAGCGCCAGAAAGGCAGACGCGACACCGATCAGCTCGAATGGGTTCGACTCGAGAGTCAGCTGCGAGAAATGCTCTCGAAGCGCACGGCAGTGGTCATCGAAGGCTCGAGTGGGACCTCCGAGTCGGGAACGCGTCCGTCGATCCGTCCGCGGTATCTCGAGCTGCTGCACGAAGCACGAGCGCTGAGGGAGTCCATGGCACTGGCCAACTGCTTGTGGGCCGAGACCCGAGCACTGGCGTTTTGGGGCGGGGCGAACAGCAAGACGCGAGACATTCGGGAACAGATCAACACGTTGCCGAGTCTACGGGCGTGCCACACGCTGGAGTTCTCCTGGTAAGATCGAGAGAAAGAGAGAGAGGTACCATAGACAAGAGAGAGACAATGAGAGAGAGAGTGAGAGATCGATGCAGTAGACAAGAGAGAGACACTACCGTTGAGTCTTGGAGACGTCCACAGTTGGCCACATACGTTTTGTCCGTGTGTAGATTCGTAGTGACTGAGTGGATAGTGTCGCATTGCGAATAAGCGTCGAATGTACTCGAGTGAAATGTAGACGTCTTCAGCAGATATGGAGTTGCTTCGTGTCGATGCAGACAACACCGCACGACGTTCTTGAGGATAAAGTCGTCAATGGTATCGTCTGGACGCGTCAAAGTGCAACTTGTCCATCCAGTACAACAACGAAGTGGGGATGGAATGGAAAGGTGCGGCCACGATACGCAGCAATCACAAAGCTTGAGCATCAACAGGTTGACGTCGGCTCGACTGCAATCATATGGCGAGTATGCTCTTCATCGACGATGTCATGCGCTTGCAACCAGTCCGAGAGTAGTAGTCCTGTCACGCTATTGTGAATACCGCGTCCAGTTTCGCCTCTTGTCCACTTCACATTCATCGCATTCGCATGACCCGTCTCGACTCCGCGTCACATCTGCCCATGTTCAGCCTGTCTTTGCGATCGTCTCGGGTCAACATCCGATCGGTCACGATCTGCCGAAAAGTTTCGACTCACGACGGTCCGACGATGTGCGGCTCGTGTAACGGTGACGAGTCCACAAGTGGGTGACGTGGTAGACTTGTACAGGTGTCTATCGACTGTGCCACGCATGCCTCGAAAGTAGGAGTCAGCAATTTTCGGTGAGATCAGCTGTTGAATGGAATGACTTGACATCCATCGCTTTATCGGGCACAACTGAACGATTACTTGACTCATGTTGCACCCAAGTGAAGACAGAGACCCTCTTGCACGTATTGCGAGACCTGACAAAGTCCATCGGATGCGAAATGGGAGACAATAAAAAGCTCATCGGATAAAGAGTTGGTCTAGAATCTCATGGAGGAATCGACGTCGCCAAGTAGATGTCATTACGGTATCGCAAAAAGAATATATAATCACCGAAACAGCGCCTGGCAATGATGGCTTAATCGAAACATACCAAAGTACGCTGCTGTTCTTGAAGGTATTTGAGAGATAGTCAGCAGACTCCGGCGTTTTCTGGTCAACGCCTCGGAAAAGACATGCTTTCATACGACTTCGACATTGCTGGGTAGGCAGACTAGATGCAAAGAGCGATCAGAAGATGACATTCTAGCCAATTCAAGATGAAGTTTCGTCCGGTAAATCTGAAAGCGGGCCGTCGTTTCTCACCAGGTTTGGCCGTTCGGCTGTCGATACTGTTGTTCATGCGACGGTATGTCCCATGCAATCGACCATGTAGCTGGAAGCCGTTGTTGCCCACCTGATTTGGCTTTCCCTTTTGCGTTGTATGCGACGGTGGCTCACATTGCAACAGATTTGAATTGTGTATGGCTGGTTCAACCAAACTGTCAAGAACGGCCAAACACTACGTGCTTTCTTTGGCTCCGAGCTCACGTCAAGTGAGGCTGCGTATCGTCGAAGAAGTAAGAGTGCAATCGCTTTTGTGGAGGATGACGTTTATGCTGTTTGTATGAGGAACAAACGGCCAATCGCTTCCTTTTAGTAATGCCTCTATAGTCGAATAGGTGACACAGGAAAAGGTCAAACAAGTGAAAAGCGTCGAAAACGGTGTGCGAGGCAAACAACGAGGCAAACAACGAGGCAAACAACGAGGCAAACAACTCGGTGTGAGCGTCAGACTAACGTGCACAACAAGCTGATCTGCAAGTAGAGTGAATGCGACATCGATACGACGGACAACATCTACGAGCTCTGTCGCAGCCTCGTGTACCCCCTGTTTTGCGTGGTACAACTGGAGACTCGAGCATCGATCGTGCAGTCGTAGCCGATGGGGCGACGATTACATGAAGCGCTCGTTGCCACGTTTTGATGTCTTGAGATTTGTAGACCAACTCTCCATCCGATGAGCTTTTTATTGTCTCCCATTTCGCATCCGATGGACTTTGTCAGGTCTCGCAATACGTGCAAGAGGGTCTCTGCCTTCACTTGGGTGCAACATGAGTCAAGTAATCGTTCAGTTGTGCCCGATAAAGCGATGGATGTCAAGTCATTCCATTCAACAGCTGATCTCACCGAAAATTGCTGACTCCTACTTTCGAGGCATGCGTGGCACAGTCGATAGACACCTGTACAAGTCTACCACGTCACCCACTTGTGGACTCGTCACCGTTACACGAGCCGCACATCGTCGGACCGTCGTGAGTCGAAACTGTTCGGCAGATCGTGACCGATCGGATGTTGACCCGAGACGATCGCAAAGACAGGCTGAACATGGGCAGATGTGACGCGGAGTCGAGACGGGTCATGCGAACGCGATGAATGTGAAGTGGACAAGAGGCGAAACTGGACGCGGTATTCACAATAGCGTGACAGGACTACTACTCTCGGACTGGTTGCAAGCGCATGACATCGTCGATGAAGAGCATACTCGCCATATGATTGCAGTCGAGCCGACGTCAACCTGTTGATGCTCAAGCTTTGTGATTGCTGCGTATCGTGGCCGCACCTTTCCATTCCATCCCCACTTCGTTGTTGTACTGGATGGACAAGTTGCGCTTTGACGCGTCCAGACGATACCATTGACGACTTTATCCTCAAGAACGTCGTGCGGTGTTGTCTGCATCGACACGAAGCAACTCCATATCTGCTGAAGACGTCTACATTTCACTCGAGTACATTCGACGCTTATTCGCAATGCGACACTATCCACTCAGTCACTACGAATCTACACACGGACAAAACGTACGTGGCCAACTGTGGACGTCTCCAAGACTCAACGGTAGTGTCTCTCTCTTGTCTACTGCATTGATCTCTCACTCTCTCTCTCATTGTCTCTCTCTTGTCTATGGTACCTCTCTCTCTTTCTCTCGATCTTACCAGGAGAACTCCAGCGTGTGGCACGCCCGTAGACTCGGCAACGTGTTGATCTGTTCCCGAATGTCTCGCGTCTTGCTGTTCGCCCCGCCCCAAAACGCCAGTGCTCGGGTCTCGGCCCACAAGCAGTTGGCCAGTGCCATGGACTCCCTCAGCGCTCGTGCTTCGTGCAGCAGCTCGAGATACCGCGGACGGATCGACGGACGCGTTCCCGACTCGGAGGTCCCACTCGAGCCTTCGATGACCACTGCCGTGCGCTTCGAGAGCATTTCTCGCAGCTGACTCTCGAGTCGAACCCATTCGAGCTGATCGGTGTCGCGTCTGCCTTTCTGGCGCTTGCGGTAGTTTGTCTCGTAGCCCCGTTGTTTGCTCTTGCGTCGCTGGTCACGACCAAAAGGGTCCAACCGACGAGCACATTTGGTGCTCGTTTTGTCCGCGATGGGGTCGAAACTCGGCAGTGTCGCGTCTCTTTGCGTTCGCTCTGGCGACGCGTCAACGTCGATGAGGGTGTTGATCGTCAGTGGGGCGACGTCCAGCAGGTTGTCGAACGGGGAGAGCTGCGCGGTCGAGTGTGTCGTTGTGTGGTCCATTTTGGGGGTGCAGGGCATCAGAATGTCGTCCACGTCCATCAGAAGCGCAGTCATCGAGTCGGAAGAGGGTATCTCGTCAATGTCAATGTCGATGGAGGAGTCGATCCAGACGGGGAGTGGCGCTTCCCATTCCATCGTGAAGGTCAGGAGGATGGGGTTTGTGGAGTTGTAGCACTGCGGAAGACTCGAGACGAGTGGGCGGAATGGCGCTGCGGCTGAAGCGAATGGAGTGAATTGACAAGTGCGTGGAAGTAGACGGACGGACGGACGGACGGGGACGGACGGACGTAGTACCCCATTGACTGACGGACAGATTGACTGACTGAGCGTACGTTTGCACAGCAGAACGTCCGATGTCTTTCCGACCGACACAAAGTCGGGAGCGACAGTTGCAGGTCAGAAACGAACAAGTCCCTCTCTCGACAGAAACAGGAGGAGGCGGTGGCGGTGGCAATTCGAACGAGATCGCTGGACGGCCATCCAAAGTGCAGCGTGACGTCGTAGCCAACAGTCTGTCTAGTGAATCAAGTGATTGCCGTTGCAGACAAAGTCTGTGGGCTCTTTGGTGGCGCGAAGCCACCCGCGTCCGAAGGTCCACCTGTGGTGTCTCTCTGCTGTAGTGGTGGCCAGTGGCATTCGGACGGACAGGAGGCCACAAAACAGGAAGACGAAGACGATGCAACTGCCTCCACCGAATTCCAGCGGACCGACCGTTGACGAGCAACGAAGTGGTGTCAGAGAAGCCACAGCGTCAGGCGTTGAGGTCTCTCGCTCGACAGGAGGACGGCGTGCTCACTCCATGTACAACATTTTCTGCAACTCTGTCGTGCAATCGCTCATGTCGTTGCTCCGTCCCTCTTCTCGAAGATGTGGGGGCATTACGCGTGACCAATCGACGCAGCACAACGAGAGCAAATGTGCAAAAGCGCTGGTAACGTGGGACGCCACAGACGTACTACCCACTGCATCCACCTCTTGTCGACCTGATGAACTTGAACACAAAAGAACGCACACCCATGTGCTCCGTCGCTGTGATGAGAAGTTGTTGCTACATCGCTATGTGCATTCATTGACTTGGCAGCTTTGTCGCCAAGTTTGGTTGCATGGGAATCTCTTTCCACATATGTCCAGGATAGCAATGGTCGTGGCAGCTTTCTACAGTCGAGACGAAGGCCACGCTCGAAGACTATTGACTGCAGACTGATGATTGTAAACTGCCGGATCGTGACTGAAGGAGCCATGTGGTTAAAGCAGCAGCAGTTGTAGCAGCGTACGTTGGAGGGATCGACTGGTCAGAGCAGTAGTCATCTTGGACCTGACATGTCTCGAACTGGACGACGTCGAGTTGATGCGAAACGCTCCTCCAGTGACACTATGCTTTCATTCGTCTCCTGCGTTTGCAAAAGCCTCGATGACCTCTTCAGCTGCTCGAGCACAAGCATCGGCAGACTCGTCGCGTTGAGTTGCGAGAGTCAACGCAGACACGAGCAGTACTGATCAGCTCGGTACGCGCTATGCTTGAGCTGTGTGCGTCCTATGGAGCCAAACGATGTTCAACGATGAGTAGAGAGGTGTCATGCTGTCTTTGTCCAGACAGACCCACACTACGAAATCGGATCGTGGCATTGTTGCTCGAGGTATGTTTGTCACTGCTCGATCTGCAACGCACATCGCATTGCACATCGCATCGCTATGGCTGTTGCACGCCACAGTCGAACGATCCGACGTGTCTATGTCCTATTTGACGAAATGAGATGAGAGGAGCGCCAAGCTCAGCGTACAACAGCTTTCCTCGTTTGTCGACATGCCACGTACAAGTCTCTGTATCGCGTCTCTGATCACGACGCTGTCACGAGAGCGGCTGTCAAGTTGATGAGTGACTTGCCAACCCGACTCTCGATGTCGTTGACGCCGGTGGGACAGCGCCCGTGACGACTATCCACGGCATCAAAAGTGCAGCATACACAAAGAGGCGCATCTTTTCTACCGCCTGACAAGAGTTGTCCGATGTCCACGACGTCTTCGCCGACGGTTCTCAGCGTTGGAGAACGTTCGGCGAAAGTGCCGTCGAGAGGTCAACAAGTTGTGATGTAAGTTGCGGCAGTGGTAGTAGCGCGTTCGGCCAGCGATCGAAAGCT